TTTCCTCCTGTGGTTTGGAATATATAAACAGAGCAAAAAAAAGAAATCTAAAACTCTAGGAGTCTTCATGTCTTCAGTCGTTTCAGTACATCTTCCCCCTATCTTTCTGAGAATCTGGTTTGGGTTCGTTTCAATATTGAAACAAATGCTGCATAAAAATATTAACAGCTGGTTCCAGGAATCATCTGGAGGCGCTGCAGATGCCGGGCCATCATGGATCTTGTCATGGAACTTTGGTGAAATACTGAGCCTGTTATGATTAAAGAGCTGCTCATTAGCAGTCTTTAAAAATAACTGTGAGAAAGAAACATTGGAATATAATATGCTATGCAATTGTGTTCCCTATTAGAAAGCAGAAGATGAGGATGTTGTTCTCACACCTGATGGCACCAGGGAATTTCTGACATTTGAAGTTCCACTAAATGATTCTGGATCAGCCGGTCTTGGTGTCAGTGTCAAAGGTAACCGGTCAAAGGAGAACCATGCGGATTTGGGAATCTTTGTCAAGTCCATTATTAATGGAGGAGCAGCATCTAAAGTAAGCAAATGTCAACTTTACCAAGGTTATGCCAATTAGTACAAATGTTTAATTCCAACCCTATAACTATTTTGGAAACATATACACTGCAGGGGAAGGCAAACTGTCCTCTCCCCTCTTAGATTCTGTTTATGCAGCCTGTGAATTAAACTGTCAAAAGACAGATTAACAGATTTTATTGAAGCTAATACTGTAGGTTTTATGTGTACTGGGGTTCCACAAAAAATAAGTGAAAACTAAAGAAGCGGTGAGACTCGGAAGCTTGTATACCATTTTAGCAAAGGGTGATTGATAGATACATTGTGGAGAAGTGATTAAAAATCAGAAAAGGGGTTTGAGATTCTAGGGGCTAGACATTGTGGGAAGTAAATTGATGGGGGAAACTAATGGTAGATAAGGTTTATTTCGTAAGGTTTGTTTATGCAGACTAATCTCAGTGCCATCTCTGTCTCCGATGTCGAACATTGTCCTTCCTTTTTCTGGTTTGGGAGAAGAGAAGGGACACTTTTATAAAAGGAAATTTGTGTCCTGCATTTAGGCAGAAAGGGGAGGCCAGAGAACCCCTCCTGTGTCTATCATTTCTCAGTTGCCTTCAGCTCAAAATGATCCTTATGCCAAAGAGGTGTCTTTTGGGTTGGTGTAGTCTGATATCCTGTAACACTTAATAAATCTTTTCTGGTTTCTTTATAATATGATCAAACAACTAGAATAAATCTCAGTGATTTCTCATTTTGGGATGGAGTCCATGGCTTCAACTCCCCATTTTATTTTTTGTCTCACAGAATTTACAATCCATAGTCCTTCTACTTAAATGAAGATAATCTGTGCAAAGACTTAGTTTAGGTTCTTTCTGCCATACAGTAAAGGTTAATCTTTGTCCCTCCTCTCCCCTGTCTGTGGGTCACTTATCTTATTTCCCAGTCTGGAGAAAATTTCCTGGCTGTTTGTGAAGGGAGCCCTTTCCTCTCTGTACTTTTCCTAATAGCCTTGAGCTTTTGCTTGTCTTGGGTTGTAAATAACCTCTATGGGTGTCTCTGGAAGCAAGAAAGTAATCACTTTGTGTCCTTTGAATTAGTATGCTATTTTGGTAAACAGATTATGATAATGACTTGATTTATAAATGTGTAAATGATGGAAATAGACACAGGCCACACTGACTGCGTAGACATTATTATGCGAGCGTTCAATTGGGCAAATCCGTTAGGATTAAAGCCTCGAAGAACTTTTTTTTTTGCTTTGTTTTTATTTTTTTTTTTAACTAAAGGAAAAGCAACTTCTTTTATAACAGACTATTTAATAGCACTTATTTTTACCTGTTTTTCTTCCCAGGATGGAAGGCTTCGGGTGAATGATCAGCTGATAGCAGTGAATGGAGAGTCCCTGTTGGGCAAGACAAACCAGGACGCCATGGAAACCCTCAGACGGTCCATGTCCACCGAAGGGAATAAGCGAGGAATGATCCAGCTCATTGTTGCAAGGCGAATAAGCAAATGCAATGAGGTAAAGAATAAAAAATAAAAAGACAAAAGGCACCAGCATTTGAAATTGTAATAAGACTGAGTTTCTGGCCTAACATTGGATAGAAAATGGCAAGTCCTGGGACTTTGCCTCCAAACACTATTATCTTTATATGCTATAGCTTGATTGTATTGTCAGTGGGATTTATTTTCTTAATTCTGTGGTCAAAATATTTCTACTTGTGCATTAGTATTTCTATTGCCAACCCAACAGATAACACTGGGATCTTAAAGGTACCTTTAGCTGAGAATCACACCTTCCTGCTCAGAGCTAGCAGTTCTCTTCTATTCAGCAGTGTGGCCCCTGGGAGGGAGAAACAATAAAACAACAATTGATTGTTCATTTGTTTATCTAAAATGGATGCCTCTTACAAAGTCCCTAAGGGGAGTCTCTATCCTGTGGCATGGTCACAAGTGTACGCCTCTACTCCTGTCTCCCCTTTCTCCTTCACTATAAGGTTGAGTGTTGTCCCCTTGAGTGTCGGTGATGTCTATTGTATAATACCATGGTTGGTTCCAGATTTGTTCTGCACTATGTAATTAGGAGTGAGTAGGAATGGGATGGTCACACCTGTTTTCTCAAATAAGTAAAAACATATAAAGTAGAAACATGTGTTTTCATATATCAGGACATTTGTAAAAGTTAAAAAGCAATTATATGTACATATATACATAACTGATAATTAATATTAGAATCAGAAAACAAATTTCATGAATCTATTAAAAATTATATGCCATCTATAGGAAATAGGCGAGACCTGACAATTTGTAGAAAGCAAAGCTTGTTGAAAATGTAAAGATTATTTTTATCGATGCTCAAATTGACCTTTTTAAATAAACTAATAGAAAATTACTAGCAAATAGAAAATCCCCGGGGGATCGATTAACTTTTTTGGAGAAACTGAAATTGCTATCCAAATTATTTGAGTGTTTTTCTTAATTTTAAAATCCATTTTTAATATGTAAAGCAAGCTTTTCAGGTCGTGCCAGTCATCTCATAGTACAATCCTATTTTGCAACAAAAACGTACTTTCGCGCCCAATGGGTAGTAGTGTAGAGGTGACCATTTTTTGAAAGGTTATTGATCATTGACTTATCTATTTATTTTACAAATGGAGAGTGAGGTAACAGTAATTAAATTAACTTTCACACCAATAAGAGAACAATTTAGCTTTAACTAAAAATCTCAGAGTAGAAAAGAGCGTGACATAAAAATGTTCACTTTTATATTATAAATATAAATGCTGATTCCTCAGAGTAGGCTACTGGGTTAGTTTTCTTCAATAATAATTTTTATTTTTATTTCTTGCCAAATCATTGATCTTTTTAATGAAAGCTCTTCAAAGTGCTTACATGATGAAAAATTCTCAACAGTAAGTTTATAAGATACATTATTCTTTGTTATTTTTTTTCTGAAACTGAATTTCAGATCCCACAAAGAGTGCATATTCATTAAACAGATGTTTATTGAGCATTCACTATATTCAGAAAATGTGTTAAGATCCTGGGGATATGGAGGTGAATTAAACAAATGAGGTCCTTTTCTCATAAAACTTATATTCTACCAGACAATATATCATACTCTTAGTCTCTTTAAAAAACAAACTAACATTAGTAACACCTTTCGTAGTTCTCCTCCAGAGGAAAACATTGACTGTTCTAGGGGGACTTAAAGCTAAGACATGTACTGATGGTCAGCGTTGTGAATCCAGATGCTTTCGTCTGGTTCAGATGATTCCTTATTGTTCCCCAAACAGTAGCAAAGCAGATCTGCTCTGGCTCGAAAATATTTTGAGAAAAGTACTGATTTTATTCCTTGTTGCCCTGTAGCAGACATGAATTTGGAATCCCACTGAAATATCTTTGTCTCCCATTCACTTCTGTATATGAATTTATGTGAATGAAATGATTTAAGTCAGGGAACAGCTGCAGTAGACAGTAGTAGACTTTAATATTCAGTATTCCTTATGGTATCATTTTCACGCATTGCTGGTTATTACTATTCCTTAGGATAGAGTAAGCTTATAAAACAATTATATCAAAAAAATCTTATCAGGAGTGCTGTGCTTTCTTTGTAATAATAGCGAGAAGCCTTTTATACTGACAGGATTTAACTAAAGAATTATATGAAGACAGAAGAATTCCATTCAGCTTCCCATAAGGCTTAAGACATGATTTTGCTGCTATTGTACTTATATATTACCTTTGGAAAAATGTCTCCCTGAATTACCAGGAGGGTGTGTGTAAATTATGTTACAGTAAATATTGATATAAGCATGGAGTGTTCTGTCATGAATGAACCTCAAGCCAAAATAAAGTGCTTGAGTTCTCTCCTTCTGGATCCGTTAGTCAGCCACGTAGTCCAGTCTTTGACAGTGTCACAAAGCTATATTTTATGAACATATCTTTAAATCAAGAGTTTGTGTACTTAATTTCAAGCTATAGAAAATGAGAATTTGCGAAAGAAAATCTTTTGTACTTTGTCACATCTCTCCTTGTCTTTATATGTGGGAAGTGCTGTATATGAGTATTTTTTTTAAATAAATTATTTATCAAATTGCCATACTGGGTTATCCACTTACCCGCGTTATCCCTCTACGACACATTTTGAGCTTTTCTCTGGAGGACATTTTTCAGTGTATTGCTTGACCTTTCGGGAATCTTTGAACACTACTTCATTCTTGAATCATTTCTTACCTGCTCTCTCCATTTTCCTCCTACTTCACTCTGGCTCTTCTCTCTCCTCTGAGGTTCCTCTTTCTGCCTGTTCTTTTATTGTCAGCATTCCTCCAGGTTCTTCTTGGGCCAGTCTTTCTTCCTCTGCATGTGCTCCTGGCTGACCTTCTTTACTTTTGCAGTGACTATAAATTCCAAGATAGCTGGGACCGCGTCCATCTGCCATGTTCCTATCGCTCTGTCACAGGTGTCTATCCCAGGACTGATACCTAAATGTGGACTGAATGATGAGGGAAATAATCTTAGAGAATGTGGCAGTTTTAGAAGAAAAAGGTAACTTAGTTACTATAAGAGACTGAAGTTCCAAGAAAGCCATCAGACAGGTAACAAAATTAATATTTTAACAGTTATTCTGGATTTCCTTTGCTTTCCTTAGATCTAATGCTTTTACTTAAGTAAAACATTTAAAAACATTTCCTAAGCAGTAATTGTTTCTTTAAAAAAAAAAAAAAATGAGAAGAAATGACTTTCCCCTTGTTTTGTGTCCCTGGGGGATCGATTAACTCTTTTGGAGAAAAATTTCTCAAGTCCTGGCATTCTTTTACACTGGAAAGAATACGTAAAGCAATAGGCAGAAACAGTGGTATCTGTGGTATCCACAAAGGATCAGTTTTTTGAATACTTCGAAGGAGAGTGGTGGGAAATGGAAGCAAACACATGCATCATTCTTTAAGCATTGAAAATAAACTATGTATGAGAATTATGCTGATTTTAAATGTTCTGAGGAAATTAGTATTTGTAGAAATTACTGTAATTTAACATAGGTCCCAGTCATTCCATTATATCTCTGTTGGACATGATTTCATGGAAAGCCTGTCTTAGTCTCAACAGAGAATATGACCAGGTAGCTTTTGTCGTAGACCCCCATACTGAAAGATTTAGTCATCAAGCACTGCTTTCAAATGAATTCTCTCTCCAGGTTTAATCCTCTTAGAATTAGAAAGCTTTAGTAGAATAAGAAGGGGCCTAAAGTATCATTTATGATTCTCTTCATTTTTATGTATTAAGGAATAAATGTGGAGAGGTCAAATGATTTGCTTAATAGCTGCAAGGCCAAGGTAGTGGCAAAGTAATTTAGAAGCAAGGTGTCCATTCCTCTTATGCATATGATTGGGTCTAATTGACTGTGATTGTGTAGTTCAGGCCATTTATATTCTGGTCCTATTGGGAAGTAGTGTACAATGAAAGTGCGGGCTTTAACATCAGAGAGAGTCAGTTACTTTCTGGGTCTGCTACATACCGGCAGAGTAACTCGGGAGCTTTCCTGAGGATGACTCTGATCCTTGCTGTCGTCCACAGGGTGTTGTGAAGGAAATTAAATGTGGCGCTGCATTAAAATCGAACCTGAAACTATACCCTAAAACTCCAGCCACTCTTCTCTAATGCCAAACCCCTTCTTTTTATTCATTGTTCTGTGTTTATGTCTCCTTTGGCTGTTAGTACTTTCTCAATGTAAAATTGGAATCTAGGTCAGTTTTTTAATTTCAACATCGTGCTGCTGCCTCAGCTTTAAAGGCCTCCTTCCACATGGCCTCGTATGTATAAGATCTCTAAACTATTTTAAGGAAAATTTGAATCATTGACTTAGAAATAAATTTATTCATCCCATTATTCACCCAGTACGTGCTCTGTGCCAGGCATTGGGGATAAAATACAATATGTTTATAAAGACTGAAATGTCGAAAATAAGATTGTGCCAAATACTAACTAGGACCCAGTTTTAAGTTTGCCGAAGGGGATTAGGGCTGTATCTCTGCCAGCTTTTCAATGTTTATAGTCAAGTTGGTGGAATACATTTTTTTTTATGTGAAGACATCATTCAGCCCGCTAATGCCTACTTAAAACAACATGAGATTTTTGCTAAATCCCACAGAAATTGTATTAGTTTTTCAAAAGAATCCAAGATTTTAACTCTTCCTAAGAAGAGTAGGCCAAGTATATTATAAAAAGCATTTTCATTGCACAATATCCAGTTTTTTTGTTATTAAATAGCATTTGTTACTTTCTGATTATAAAGTGGCATATAATCATTTGAATATCTGAATATCTTTTTAAAGAACATATTTACATTATTTGTAGAGATTGAGGTAATTCCCAATTTTTATACCTTTGTAAATAAAGTTATGAGAAATATTATATCTTTGTTATTCACATAGCTTATTTCATGAGGATAGTGAGCACAAAGTGAAATAAATGACCTGGTCTAAGACTATAAGTTATTTTTTGACCTGTGATCTACATGTTCACATTACTTCAGAAAAAGACGGTATCACTTTACACTGCTACCCAGTGTGAGTTATCGTGCTGCAACCCAGAGTTAATTTTTCTTCAGTAGGTCAAAAGGCTTTCCTATTTTCCTAGGGGGCCGAGGGGTCCAACACAACCACCGCTACTTAGGACCAAATGAAGTTGGATCAAAGAACTTTTATGCACTTTAAACAAACAAAGTGAAAATTACAGTTCACTTCTTTTGGTTTCTTTTTCTAATTGAGCTTAATTTGATAAAGGTTTTATGTAAGGAGACCGAAAGGGCCTGGGAGCAGCTTGATCACAGAAAGGCCTGGGCGCCCTTCAGGGTCAGCCTTGCTCCTGCCTCCTCCTCCGTGTGCCCATGCCAGTCTGACACATTTCTCTTTCTTAAACTCATTTTTGTAGCATGCACGCGCACACACGTAGATCATCAAAAGATTTAAAATCAGTTGTGGTTTTTTTTTAAGAAATTAAAAGGCATTGTATCTTCTGTTAAATATTTATGTAGTAGGCTATTGATGTCTTCATTTAAATCTGTCTTTTGAGATGCAAATTAGACGTGGTTAGGGAAGCTGGGGAGCTATGCATTCTTTCCCAGGAAAATGGTCAAGTGCAAGATTCTATCTGAACAGGCATCTTACTGTTTTTCCCTAGAAAGCCTGCGTGTACTATTTTTTAAATCAAATTTTTATTTGACTTTATAGAATTCTAAAATAGCCTCATGGGATATTTAGGAGTTTCTCATGAAGGAGCTTTATAAAGATTTTATCATCTAGAAAATTGCAGAGTTATATAGTTCAATTAAATATATTTGTTAGGCAAACTTGAAGCTATCTTATGATGAAATAAATTATTGCATAGCAAGCAGGTCTTGTGTATAGGGACTGGAATAGCAAGTCTCTTAACGTATGTTCTTATTTTAAAAATTCAAACATACTTGTTCTTAAGGTATAGGGTATTCGTTTTGTTTGTTTTTGTTTTTACCTCCCCAAAGTACCTTGGAATTTAGGCATAGTATTCTTTCAGAAGATGTTCTTTATTCTTATGCATCAGAGACCTTGACTATTTCATTTACTTTTCAGTAAAGCTGTCAGTTGTAATCTGCGATTTAAAAAAAACTAATAAAACAAGTCCTCATTTCACAATTTAAACCTTATTGAGTCTAATTCGCTAGCGCTGCAAGTTTATTATTCTCCTGCAGTTTGACGTGCCTCCGGTTGTAATTGTGTTGACCCTTCAACACATTAAATCTCCCCAGTGCTTATCAAACTGGGAGAGATAAGTCTACAATTTGGAACTTCATTAAATATCTCATTTATATTAAACAGATGATAGCTTCTAACAGAAATAATAATTTGTTCAAGCGCAGGAACCGCGGCAGTTGTGGTTTCATCTGTTGGGAACATGCAGTTTCCTCTTCAGCTTTGCTGTGTTGTGCTGGGCCGCCGCTGCTCCCTAAGCCCTCTCTGCCTCTGGCCGCAAGCCAGCACCAAAACGTCACAAGATATTAGTCCACAGGGTTAACCTCAGAGCCCACATTGGGAGCATCGTAGTTAAATGTGCTTTGTTTCTCCTTGAAGCAGGTTTGTTTCAAGGCCTTATTAACATAGGTCTTAAATTCATATTATTTTTATGAAGAATATGACTTACAAGGCACAGCTGCTTTAAATAATGCCACATACAATTTTATTCACAGTAATAGAAATTGAACTGTATTCTTTGCTTATTTAGTAGATTGTATATGTTTGTGAAAAATGCATTTTTACCTGCTTCATTAGAATATTTGGTTCTTACTTTTATATTGTTCTTATGCTATTGAAGCGCTTTTCTTAGTTATTTGCTATCCCATGCCTAAGATCACAGTAAGAGAATAGGGTGATTATTCCTAATGCCTAGCAGAAGAAATGTAGGCTCAGTGTATTGTTCAAGACACCTGAGCTGACAGGTGGTCGCTGGGTCTTGCAGAGTGGGTAGCAGTTCTACTGGCATGCACATGCTGATGTGTGCTAATTGTCACGTGTGCTTACACACCATAGGTGTATAGTTAAGTTCCAGCTTCCCTTCTGATAAAGCGTGCTTTGTGCAGAGCAACATCTCATGAAGAATTCAGAATTAAATCATAACTTAAATTGACTTCAACAGATACTAACAGTCAAACTGAAAAAACAAGCTTTTAATATACATATTTTTCCTCCAATGGTTGAAATCTGACAGAACTTCATGGGAGGCACAGTGTAAAGTGGCACAGAAAGTTGGTCATTAGGCAGAGCTGTCATCACAAATTATTTTGGTACAGGGTGAAAAGTTCTAGTTCATTTGGTACCCAGTTGGATGCAGGCCTTGGGCAAGTTGTTATAATCCCCCCATGCTGCTAATGGGCCTCCAGTCCTGACTTTCCCTTGCCCCCCTTTCTCTGTAGCTGAAGTCACCTGGGAGCCCCTCTGGACCTGAGCTGCCCATTGAAACAGTGTTGGATGACAGAGAACGAAGAATTTCCCATTCCCTTTACAGTGGGATTGAGGGACTCGATGAATCACCCACAAGAAATGCTGCACTCAGTAGGATAATGGGTGAGTCAGGTAAAACTGTTTATCACATCTTATTTTTATGCTTTAACTAGCTCACGGAGAGGTTGTTAATGTAATATTAATGCAAAGGAGGCCCATGTTTTCAAGAGAAAAAGATCAGGTTCATTATAATCATTCAGGAAGTGTTGATATGAAGAGAATAAATCAATACATTGATTTTGTGAAGTGAGTTTTAGATCCTGTAACGTGGGAAGAAAAAAAGAGAGGAATCACATAGAAATGTTTCTTAGTGATCAAGATATTCTTAGTTTGTTTGAGATAAGTTAAATAATGTATTTTCAAAAATCAAAATTTAGTGGTTTATGGCAAGAAGGATTCAAAAGTTACATATTAATCACAGTAGCACTGTTTGGAGGGAGAGGGAAAATCCAAATGTACATGGATAGGTGTATGTACGAGGTACAGTCACATTTATTTGATTTGCACCTAATAGAATGGGACCATTTTTAGTTGAATCTCTACTTTTCCAAAGCCTTCATTTTAAAATCCCGAAATGAGATTTTGCGCCCTTTGTTTGGATTCGCCTGCATGGCCCCCAGTGGGTAATGAGGTTATTAGCACTTGCTCTGCAGCAGTGCAGCTTTTTCCGAGCAGATCCAGTTAATAAAGACTTGCTTTGCCACAGGAGTGGTTGGCTGTACTGAGCTGCTCATCTTGGGAATAGCTTGGGAGAGTTTTCGAATTTAAAACACAGGAAGCTGTTTTGATTAAAATAGCACTTGATGTAAAACACTTTCATTGGCATTATGTTTTGCAAAGCTCTAATGCAAAGTAAAACGCTGAATTTTACTCCATTTTGAATATATTTAGTATAGATTTAATACTATTCAAGTTTCTAGCGTGAAGCTTCATTAGAAGAAGAATCTATTTCATTCTTAAGTGGATGTTTATGGAAAGCCTGCTATTGGCAAGATACTGTGTGTATACTTTTGCTGTAGATACAAAGATGAATAGAAACAATCTCTGCCTTCAAAGAACTTTCTACTGGGCATGATAGGAAAAATATATAAACATGACTACTAGAACTTTCTATTGTTCTTCTAATCCCTCTAGCTTTCTGGTTTGGAAAAACTGCTAAATTCTCAATTTTTTATGATGTCACATGTAGAATTTACGCATGCCAACTGTAGTTTTATTTTGTCAGCATTTTTGTTTTTGCCTCCTTGACATAAGTGAAAGTATGGGAAGGATGCTAAAGATATTGTACACCTGTTAGGTGACAGGCATCGCACATAATTTATCACATTAATCTTTGCTTATTAATGATCACTCTCTTCACTGCTCTTGGATTTTCCATACTTTCCTGGATTTGGTATAAAACTTTATCTTTATTAAATACTTTTTTATTGATGAAAATTCAGACCCCTTGAAAGAAAGAGAGTGCATGTGTCCCTGGATCTGTGTGCATACAAAGTGATATGCTGTAATTTCCCCTTTATTATAGGAACGTAGGACTTGCCATACTGAATCAGACCATTGGTCCACCAGTTCCTGTAACCTGCGTCCTGCCTCCAATCCCTGAAGCTTCAGAGGAAGGCGAAAAACTAAAACTAAAATCAAAACAAAACAAAAAAACCCACCCCAGTTCATCTAGTGACCTTTTGAAATGCTGTATATGTGGGTTGAGGATTCCTTCATTTTTTTATAGTCTGTTGCCCTGATTTTGTGAGCTATGGCTTCATTAGTCCGCTTAAGTTTGCATCGTAGTCGATATTGTTTTTCTTTCCCTCTGCTAGAGGTTTAATGGACTTTTAAAATTCCAGATGCTTCACCCAGGGCAGCAACTTCTCTCCCAGCTCTGTGCTTTGTGAGGTACTGTGCATGCCCATTTGGGCTGGGGGATGCAGACTCTTTATCCAAATAGATGCTGAACGATTTGGATGTTTTCTTAAGACAGTTTTTTTTTTTTACATGTTGTACTAGAAACTAGGGATCCCATATAGTTTTACCGTGAGAAATGCATGTACTTAATTTGACTTAAGTTTTGCAAATTTGAGAATTCCTCAGTCTTTGCCAGTCTCTATTCCAATATCATTGGCCCCAACAAACAATACTGTTTGTTAAGCCAGTTCCCACTTAAAGTTAGAAATCCTACAAAAGATGTTACCTTGCAACAAAATACCAAAACAGTGTGCCAAATATATAGGTATTGAGTCACTGAATTTCTATTAACCTAAACCAATACCAATTTTATTTATTGATTTGCATAGTATCTATGTACATGGGAATTTCTCAGACAGATCTTGTTTGTTTAATGGCTATCTTCTACGCATTTAGAATAACTTGTGTAGACTCTGGTATAGGTGGTGGTATTTACTTCATGATCTGCAATGATTTAAATAGAACTTTATATTGAAATTCCAGTTGATCACATTAAGAAATGATTCATTTTATACAAACATGGTGAATTTTCATGTAGAATATTCCTCATGTAGGACTCTAGACCAAAAGGAGTGTTGAGGCTTTCTGACTCATATCTGTGGGAGCACATCCAGGAGAGAAGCTTTTAATAATAGATTTAAAAAAAAAAAAATGCAAGAGTTGTTAGAGTTGGAAGGATGGATGTCAGGTATCATCAGCCATACTTTCCCACTTAACAGATAAAGGAACAAAGTCCCAAGATCCCATGATGATTTTTATTTTGTTTTTAGTTACTTCCTATTTCTAAAAGTAGCCTCGCTGGGGTATACTGAGATCATAAAATTTGTGACATTTGCCTTTATTAACATCAATTATAGCTATTCACATCTTTAAGCAAAAGATATTAGACGGTTTCCAGAATCTATTCCTTGCTTGCAACCACAGTGATCTAAAAATCAAAGAAGTTAATCTTTGAAAGCAACCTTAGAAATCATGTATTCCAACCAACTTATCTTCTGGTTGGGGAATTATGGACCAAAGAATTTAAGTGACAAGTCAGAAGCTGCAAAGTTTCTGTGCTTCTGAACCAACCTTACAATATATATTTTTGTGAGTTGTAAGTCCTACATTACTCAGACCTGATCCATCTCCTTAGCTTTTCGTGGAGTCAGCCAGGTTTGTGACCAAAGATGAGATGTCTCCAAATGGCATATTGGCTGACTTTCCAGTATCCTGGATTTTGAGAGAGTTGTCCTTGACATTCACCAGAAAGAAATCTGTAGTGAGCCTGCATAGGATTTCTTTTTTTTTTTTTTTTTTTAAGCCTTAAAAATATTTTACAAATTGCTGAACTGTCTTAACTAATTTAATCAACATGTTCATAAAATCACAAGTCGACATTTGGGATTGTAGAATCTTAAATTTTTTCCAACGTTTTAATCTGAAGAATTTTTCTGTTTAAAGCAAAATTGAAATCTGTTGTATCCATTTTAGAATTTGATCTCAGTAGCTTTTATATTCATACATTTGTGGTGAGTTTAAAAAAATAATTATGTTCATATTATTTTCATCTTGTCAAAAATTCAACAAAGGAAAATGGAACATTAATGTTTTCATTGTGAGTCAAATCACTGGAAATTTTTTTGTCATTTCACCTGTTTTTAGTGTCATGCATGGCATTGCCTTCTCTGTAAATGTACCAATGAATAAATGTTTAGTAAACAATCATTTTGCATCTCATTGTTTCACTCCTCTACAAGATATTGTCTGTTTTAAATCTTAGTTTGTAGTTGTTCATTAACTAGTTGAAGAAAAAAGAATATCCATCAAAAAACAGGTCAAAGTCTTCTCAAGTCACCCTTTGAAGGTTTCGCATTTATGATGTGCCAAGTACAGACATAATTAAGAGGTATTGACTGGGTGGAGTTTAGGACAATAGGTAGTCAGATAATTTAGTCATCCGTTACCTCCAATATGTTTCTGGAGCCAGATTCCAAGACTACATTCCTAGTAAGCACGTTCCGAAGTGGAAAATTGATGGACAGTATGAATTCTCAAATCTTTTAAGATATTAGCCTCCAGAATCATAAGTGAGAGGAAAAAGCTAAACTGTAATCTAACTATTAGGGAAATTTCTTGCCATTTATTTATATATAAAATTTTAGATCACTGAAGGTACAATGTTTCTGCTCATAACAACATAAAGGGTCACGATGTGAAGAACCATTTAGTGTCCCGTATTGTTTGTGAGACTGTCCGTCAGACTATGTTGTGTAAACCCACGAGTTTTAGTTTTGTGTTAAAAGGTGGTGCACTATTGTTATACCATATTATTTCCTTCTACTAAATTTTGCCTATGTGAGAAATTGGCATTTAATGCTCTGATGCGTGTTGTCAGTGGTGAGCTGTCAGAGAGAATTCTGATTTTGTCATTCTGTGCACTTTTGTGTGTGTGGGGGGGGGACATGTCTAAAGAAGGAAATACTTCTTTGGGTAATAGTGCTAGAATATCTGGCCTTACTTATGAATGTTATTTTAGTGAACAGATTTCTTTCTTTACTAATATCCTAAAATTCTATTAGAAATAAATGAGTGACTTTAATTCAGGAAATGGAAATGATTAAGTATTAAATTTGATTTACATTTGCATCATAAGCATTCATAAAAAAGTTATTAGTTTTTGCAATTTATCGAAATGGATGCATTTCATATCAAAATAGTTTTCTTGATAAAATACTGAGTAGAGATTTTAGTGAACATGTAGTGTTTCTATCATAGAGTAGTTGATGCTAAATAATGAATGCACTTGAAATTTCTAGCAAGTTTGCTTTTGTGGGTTGTCCTGAAAAGATATATATCAACTTAATTTTTTGCTCCTTTGTTTAAACGTATAGAATAATATGTATTTTTAAAAATCCTTCATGCCTGTATATGTCATTGTGAAGTTTCCAAATTAGTATTAAACAAAAATGATAATTTATACATTCTTAAGAATGTTTACTTTAAAAATTAGATCTCAGTACTGATGTCGAAATGTTAATAAACTTTCTACACATCACTGTTGTGCTATTCTAAAATGTAGCTTTTAATAAAGGAAAAGTATACCGTGTGTAAAATGGTGGCCATGTTGGGATGTATTTTGAGGGGTACCAGTACAGCTGACTTAGCAGGTTTGGACATTGGATTTAAAATGAGTGTTTTTCCATCTTCCTGTAAGATGACAGAGAGCTTGTCATTCTACCTTGCTTTGTTGGGAAAGCCAGGCCGATGGGCCTGTGTCATCCTGTGCTGCACAATATGTGAGCATGGCCTCCCATGAGTTGTTCACGTGGACCAAGGCTTTGTCCTCATTCCTTGCTCAGAAGTCTGGCACAAGGTTTGAGAAAGACGCCAGAATAACTGTAGATGTTTTGGGGAGGAAGATGGCATCATTTGAACCCCAGTATTATCTTTAAAGGTTCTGAGCCTGAAATAACAATTTTGTCCCAAGAAATGTAAATGCCTGTCATGCTGATCTGTGAACCCGAGCAGATTTTCCTGAAAGAAACTGGTCAGTGTAGACAGTTTTGGGTCTTTCCTTACCAAGAACACTGTATCCTAATTGAATAAATCAAAATTTACAGGCTCCCCTGTCTTGGGTTGAAAACCTCTGGGCCATCAGGTCCTAATATTTGCTCTTTAGGATCAGTCCTGCCATTTCCTTCCAAGGCCTTGATTCTGCACATACTTACCTTTGGAATGTCGCCTGTATGCACTGTGTGCTTTTCTCCACCATGCATTTAATAATGATGCTGCCGATGTCTAAAATCAGTGTTTCTTCTAGCAGAAAAGACTTGTTCCTCAATCAAAGCCCAACTCTGATATTAACTTTTGTTAAGATTCCCAGCATCCTCTGTCTTCAGCTACCCAGGCAATTACCAGCACTCGCAAATGCTGTAGTACTTTTGGCACATCACTCACAGCACCAATCAATTATCACTTTTTATATGTCTATCCCCTTCTCTAGGGTGTGAGCTATTTAGAGGCAGAGATTAAATCTTTCTTTTGCTATGTGAGCGAATGGTCGAATGATTGATCTAAGTCTGCAGGGCTTCCCTCTACATTTCCTGGTAAAATTTTTCAAAAGACTTTCATAACTTAGAAACTGTAGTATTTTCACATTAGAAGACATTCTGGAGATCATCTTTAGCTTTAGGAATCTTAATACCAGAGAAATGGAATACTCTGCCCAGAGCTGCATAGCTCTAGTGACAGAGGAAGGAATAGACTTGAGGTCTCTGTTTGACTTTCAGTTTTGAAAAATAAATTTCCTTAATTCTATTTTGTTCTACCAGGTTGCGCAGATGTTTGAAAATTTAGACTTTTTCTGATGTAGCAAAGTACTAATATTAATAAACATAACACTTAGCGTGAGTCTAGAATTTCTTTCTTTTTTTCCCACTGGACAGGTAAATACCAGCTATCCCCCACAGTGAATATGCCCCAAGATGACACTGTCATTATTGAAGATGACAGATTGCCCATGCCTCCTCCACATCTCTCTGACCAGTCGTCTTCCAGCTCGCACGATGACGTGGGGTTCGTGCCGACAGACCCCGGCCCCTGGGCTAAGGCTGAAGTCAGTGATTCAGCAGATTGGTAAGATCATACTCCAGGGTTGGAAGACAGTGACTTGCAATCACACTTTATTTTGTGCTTAAATGGTCTATCAGTTAATCATTTTTTTTTTTAATACCAGTGTTCTGTTTTCATGGTTTTAATACCCTTGATTATCACTCTTTTAATAAAAGATTCCCTCCAATCCCATAAACTTGCCCCATTGTTTTAGCCTTTCCAAGGCCGTAGTTAATTTAGCAAAAATAACAAAACAACTACTTACCAAAAAAACCTATTCATTTGTTACGTTTCTCCCATTCATTATTTTAGATCTATGTCGATTTGATGAATTGTTTTTCTATTAAGTAAATAAATTCTAACCAAAATGCTAAGGTGATTCAGCATTTGTCACAATTAGATGACTTTGGCCAAATTAATAGTTGATCTGAGAATGGGAAGGTTTTTTTTTTTTCTTTTCCTTCCTTCCTTCCTTCCTTCCTTCCTTCCTTCCTTCCTTCCTTCCTT